TTCGGGAAGGGCCAAATCACCCGGGAGGTTGAACAGTGAGGCCGAAAGAATGTCACGTTTCCACTTTCGGGCTAGTAGCTCGTAGAGAGTCACGCAAACCCCGCCCCCAGAATGTCCCCCGAATCAAAACGTCACACAACCCGCCCACTTCAGCGGGAATCAGGCAGATAAAGCACACCACATCATCACGAAACTATTCGAATAAAGACAAGCGAAACAAACTAATGACCCGTTACTGTTCAGCATTACATTATATGTCTATACGCACATGCCTGTGTGTTCTCAATTATCATATTCATTAACTCACACACCGACTGTTGGCATCGAAATCAAAGGGTCTCCCAACTAATGGCGGGACCCAGCGCAGTGAGCGCACCATCCATAATATAAAACCACATAAATTCTGTTAATAAAGACAGAAAAATGAAAAGAAAAATGCAATGCATTTTATAACATCCTCGTCTAGATAGACACCGTCAAACCCTTCAGCCCAAATGCTCCGGAGAGACCTAAAACACTAATTTTTCCCTATAGGCTATGCCACTTAATATGTGATTTCCCTTTATTTAAGGATATTTAAGGAAAGTGTTAAGTATTTCAGAACATAGGAGCAAGTAATAAAATAGAGCCTATATTTCGTTGCGCTCAGCAGATATCCACTAATAAAGCTCTTCATGTATTTAAGAAAAAAAGATAGCCTAGCCTACAGAAAAAAAAAGGTCGCCTTTCTGCTTTCACGCACAGAAAAAATGCTTTGTTTGCATGATTTGATTATTATCATCGTATCCAAATACTGAATAATCAATATTTCAAACCTTCTTCTGTGTTTATTGTTTTTAGAAAATATCTATAATCTTTTTTTTCAGATAGGCCTTTGTAAAATGAAAGTTTAATACGGTTTAATTTATGTATTGTATATGCCTAAATTGTTATAGCTTTTGTTAGTTTTATATACAGGTTTTATAATAGTTTTATATATTGGTTTATTTATTTAATGCAATTTTATTATATCTGATATTTGTAATTCTTTAAATTATTTCAATATAGCTTAGGCAATTTTATCAAGATATGACAAAAAGTCAAAAGTTCTACAAAAGTGGACACGAAATTTGTAAAGTTTCATGTCTTTCTGTTGTATTCATGTTGTGTATTATCTCTAAAATAAATAACAAAAAGAAAAAAAACGCGCGGCATCAAAACAGCTGTGAAGGAACCGCACTTTACCTAGGTCTCACACAAACACACCTTTTAAACTTGACAAAACTCTTGAAAACCTTTACTGTCTGCTGTGTCTTTAATATGGTGTAAAGAATATTATGCGTCATTGAAACATCAAGAAGGACGCAGCAAAGAAAAGTCACTTATTATTTTATGCAACA